CCACACTTCTGCCTCCCTCTGCCCCAAGCAGGTACCTGGACGCCATAGGAATTGGGCCAGGGGAGCCCGGGTCTCCGTTCCCGCTGGATTCTGGGAGGAAATACCGTCAACTACAGCTGCTGCCTCTTAGCCAACAATCCGTGCAGGACACGTGATCACACCAACCTGAGGGCTCTCCGGACTCATTTACTATTTCTTTTTTTTAAAAAACACACATTAATTTTATTGATTTCAGGGAGGAAGGGAGAGGTAGAGAGAGAGAAACATCAATGATGAGAAAATCATTGAGCGGCTGCCTCCCGCACGCCCCACACTGGGGATTGAGCCCACCACCTGGGGATGTGCCCTGACTGGGAATCAAACCCTGACCTCCTGGTTCATAGGTCGATACTCAATCACTGAGCCACACCATCTCACTCTTTACTATTCCTGACAACCCCATGAGGTAGGGCTTCCCCACGCCCATTTGACTGCATGGGTCAGATCAGGAAGCACAAAACACACACATTCCAGGAAAACTCGCTGGCCACGTGGCCCCCATGGTAGCTTCTTTCTTTCCTGAACTAGCGCCCAGCTCACGGGTGGCAAGTACCCACTATACCCCTTCGGCCTGTCGACCCACAAGCAGACGGTTCTGCCCAGGCTGCTGTGAGGGACTTTAATCCCCTAATAAAGCATCTGTGAGGCCTTCGGAAGAGGTAGGTGAAAGCAGTAACTCACAGAAAGCAGTAACCCCACCACCACCACCACCACCACCCGCCCGCAGAGTAAGCTGGGGAGCCTGGCATAGCTGTGGGACACACGGGAGATGAGATGGACCTCCTGGGTTTCCCCGGGGTCCTGGCTCTCACGGACTCTTTCCTTGTAATGCAGCGGTTCTCAACCTGTGGGTCTCGACCCCTTTGGCGGTCGAAGGACCCTTTCACAGGGGTCGCCTAAGACCATCCTGCATATCAGAGATTTACATGACGATTCATAACAGTAGCACCATTACAGTTAGGAAGTAGCAACGAAAATAATTTTATGGTTGGGTCACAACATGAGGAACTGTATTTAAAGGGCCAGAAGGTTGAGAACCACTGTTGTAATGGATCTTGCAGGAGGGGCAAGCAGTCAGTCTCCACACCCCTGACACCGTGAAGCTGGCTGTGCTCCAACCCACGGAATCAACAGAAATGCTCGTTGGCAGCCACTCCCTTTCCCTTTATAAAATCGGCCTCTGCACGAATCCCCCCTCCGGCCCCCCAGGTCAGGATTCTGCAAAATGAATCACTCCTGATGTCTCCACAACTGGATAAATGCAGTTTTTAATGGGGGTTGGGGGGGTGGGAGACAGAGAAACAGCACATCCATGGAGGTGTCTTTGCACAGGTCCTGTTGATTGAGATGCACAGAAGTAATTTCTCAGCACAGAAGAGCCAGCCTCGCTGCTCCAGAGTGACGGTAAGAGATGGTGATACTGACGGTGACACACCACACAAGGGCGGCGACCACGAATGAGAAACAGCGTCTTGGCGGGACCCTACGTCAGACGTGCCCTAGTGAGCATCCTGAGACAGGCCCAGAAACTCCCAAGGGCACAATCAATGCGAAAACAAGTGACTTCATAGGTACGACATCTAGATTTACAAGATCCAGCTCACTGGCTTCCCTATGTATAGCAATGCCCAGTGCGAAACGGATTTCTTTCTTGAAGGGTATTAACGTTGCCAAGAATACAGCAAACATGTCACTTCATGGATGGCTCTGCAGAGGCCATCGGGAGGAAGCCCCCTCACGGTCCGATCTTCATTCTCGTTCACGTAAATCCTCAGGGGTCCGCTCGCAAAGCCGGCCTCTTGCCAAGTTTCGATCGTACACCAGGGCATTGGCTATTGTGACCCCATTTTTCGAACCATCTGGGAACAGCGAAGGGGGAAAAGGTCACTTTAGAAGGGCTACTTCCGGAAGCGGTGTTTTCAAACACTGCGGATTTGTCAGGAGTAAGGGCTCGATAAATCAAGGGCAATAATCGAATCTCAAGGCGATGGCAAGACTGCCGGTGGGGATTTGGCACCAGAAGAGCAGGAAATGAAGGAGGCGTTGCAGGCGAACTCGGCTCCTGAGGGATGGCCATGACGAGGGGGAAACTGACTACCCGCTCACTGGGGCCCTTACCCAGGCTGGGGCTTCACGGCCAAATCGACATCACCAGGAAGTGAGGCGAAACGCTTCACTGGAGTTCTCTCATCCTGTAGCCAATAAAGCATGCAGAGGCCTTCGGAAGAGGTAGATGAAAGCAGTAACTCACAGCGAGGTCGCTGTCGGGTGTTACTAAAAAGTTCATCCCCCTCCTCCTCGCTCAGGCCAGAGGATGGGCAACTGTAGAAACAGGCGGTGGCGGTGAGGTGTGTGCCCGGCATTGCTGGACACCTCGTTTCGATTTTATCTTGTGAAAAAAATGGGAAGGACTGCCATTTCTTTAAATAACGAGCTATACAAATAAAAAGGAGCAGACATGATAAGGAAGGTCGTTGATGAAAACAAACGGAAGGAGTCAATAAATAATGTAAAATGCTTTTGGCTAAAAAAGAACTCTCTGTTTTATATATGTCGTTGAGCAATCTTTGTGTTACCCAGAAAAGGCCGAATCTATTTGTTGTAATTCGTTAAAACACAGAAAAACTCAATCAATAATAATAAAAGCGTAATATGCTAATTAGATTGGACATCCTTCCAGACGGCCTTCCGGACAAAGCCGGGGCTGAGAGGGAAGCCCGGGTCCTGGGTGCCAGAGGGAAGCCGGTGCCAGCAGCCCGGGGAAGGAAGGCCTATTCTTGCATGAATTTCGTGCGTCGGGTCTCTAGTTTAACAATGAAACTAAAAATGGCCAGTGTTTCGCTCACAAACTACATATAATATATACATCATGGAACATAATCAACTGAGAAGCAAACCCAGGGTCAAGTCCTTTGTAATATGAATACACGATTAGAATTATTTCTCCATACCTTACCCTTACATTTTATATTAGGACAAAATTTTAAAAATGGAATTGAATTGGCCCGACTAGGATTCTGACTGAAATTTTTAAAAAAATCATTAGAGAAAAACTACACTTTGATCTTTTTAATCTAGTTAAATCCTATTGTCAATTGGTAAGTGATACATTTTTTTAATGGCCAGGGAAGGCCTTAAAACGATTGTTTCAGGTATCTTATGGTATATTTCAAACTGCAAATCAAGGTAAGTCTTGCTTGAAACAGGTCGCTGTTTGTTGTTATCCTTCTTCCTTCTTTTGGTTATTTTTTTCCAGGTTTGCTGTTGTCTTTCCAAGCAGGATTCTTCTGTTCCTCGGTGCACCTGGAACGTGAGGCTTTCATTTCCTTGAACTGACAAATCAGAGGCCCAAGTAATGAAACCTTTGCCTACGCAGTGAAATAACAGCTAATTTCTAGAAGGCTTGCTGAAAAATCACCCTTAAACATGATAGAGAAGAAAAAAAATCGTGAGCCCCAATGACGGGGGGGATAAAGACACCAAAGAGAGAGTTTTAGGTTAAAAAAAAAAATAACCTGGGGTTCATAAAAGTTTTAAATTTACTCCGTCTATAGCAGCTTAAACTATTATTTTTAAACTTTGCTTTATTGATTCCTTTGAATTATGAAATCAAGGCTCATTATACCACAACTATATAAAAATACCAATTCGATGATCTTCTTCGACAACGTTAAAATACCCCGACCGTCTCTGTATATCTAAAATAACGAGAAAACTTGTGCAGAATTTTGTCTTTTTACATGGTCCAAACACAGGAAGGGTCAAACATCTAGGAATGACATAACACTCTTAAAACCGTCTGGAATAGCCACATATACCAATGAACCTCTTTGACCTTCTAGGACCTTCCGTCAACACCCCATCAGAGGGGCTGTGGGCACAAGTTCAGGCAGAAGACCGGCCTCCCCAGGGACTGCCTACCCAGACCCCAACACAACTGGAGACCACAGAGGGCCATCAGTAAAGTCCATCCATGCGAGGCCCTCCTCAGCCATGCCATTGTAAGTCACGTGTGAGTTGGGAGAATATAAAAGTTTACTTGGGGCCGAACCGGTTTGGCTCAGTGGATAGAGCGTCAGCCTGCGGACTGAGGGGTCCCGGGTTCGATTCCGGTCAGGGGCATGTACCTTGGTTGTGGGCACATCCCCAGTGGGGGGCGTGCAGGAGGCAGCTGATCCATCTCTCTCATCGATGTTTCTAACTCTCTATTCCTCTCCCTTCTTCTCTGTAAAAAATCAATAAAATATATTTTTTTAAAAAAAAGTTTACTTGGGATAAGCCTGAGGCAACAGGGCTCTCAGGCTGCCTTCCCATTCATCTCTCTTAGGAGCAATTCCTAAATTTCTAAAAGAGATTAACTTTACCTTCCACCCCAGAGCAAAAACTGTATTTCTCAAAGAGATGCGAATCAGAGGAGGTACTGCCTTAGGTGTGAGACGTGAGACGCTAAGCCCAGACCCGGAGGGGTACGGTCTGCCTGCCTTCGGCACACGAGGCCCCGAGGTTTCTGGCTCTCCGTGCTGAGCATGCGTGTTGGCGGTGGCGAGAACAACGACAGCTGCACTTAGCCGGCCTGGGGAGATGCTCACTCTTTGTGAACAACTGCGTGTCTGTCTTGGTGGCTTTTTTTACTCTTTTTTTTTTTAAGCAACTTAATTACCCTTCCCTTTTAAACTCGAGAATGCATGTGCATAGCGTGCATTGGAAATACTGGAAATAGCAGGCAGTAGAACATGCGTGTTAATTTAAACTCCAGTTAAGACTTGAGATGGACAGTGACCCTCCCGATTCCTTTCCCAAAGTAACTCCTAGGAAATGAAAGACTCTGCCAGTAATTATCTTCCCAATCCCCCAAATAGAATTTCATTTAAAAAGCACTTTCTTTCCCAATGAACACAGCACACGCATGTGAAAACGAAGATTTGGAGCCACTAAAAAGATCAAGGACAGGATGCAGATAATTACGATGTCAAGTTTTGTATATTGTTATTAACTTAGAAACGAACAATAAAAGTGCGCTGGGAACAGGACCAACAAGTGGACTTTTTGAAATTGCTGTTATTATTTTTAGTCTGATGACACGGAGGGCTTTGCTGGCAAACACACTGGTTCTTATAACCCAGCATTTACTTGGGGCGTGAGAAGGGCCTGGAACTCGCCAGGGGAAAACCACGGGGAAAGGACGCCGCTGGGATCAGGCGAAGAGTCTTCACGCTCTAACGTCCCGGTCACGGGACGACCCGCCCAGGGCACGGGGTCACTCACGAATGACAACATAGATCCAAATACACAAGGAACCCATTGGGACACATTCGTTCTTTTTTCAATAAAATTCATTTAAATTACACCAAAAGGTACAACAGTTTCCTTCCTTCACACATCCATCGCTGATATGTTCTCTGAGGTCAGGCAGAAGGAACCAGATCGCCCGAGTCACACCACGGCCTGCTGTCGAAACGCAACGGACTCGCCCCCAAATGTCCCTGTGCACCCGGACACGTGAAAGTGCGGCTCGTGTCCTCGAAGATTTCTGACGATCGTCATTACCCTGAAGTTTAAAACCCCGCGCCGGCCTCGCCTTCGGAATCGCTGTCAACATCTCCAGTGGTCGAGCGCCGGCAGTTCCCACGGGCTCCCGTGTCCTCGGGGGCCGTGCCCTCCATGCCCAGCGCAACGAGCGCTCCCTGGGGGAGGGGGGGGGCAGACCCGCAGCTGGGGGTGCAGCCACACGGTGAGGGGCCCAAGCACAACCGTCCCAGAAAGCATCTTCAGCTTTCGAACTCAGGACAGCACGGAGCCGGGTCTGAGATGCACGGAAGAATCACACGGCTGGCCTCCCATCCCAGGAGCATGGAGAGCAACGACGTAGAAAATCCGCAGTGACTGTTTCTGGGTAAAACACGGCGACCCCGGGCGACCTGTGAGCCCACACGGCGGACGGGCACCTTCCATCCGGACAAGTACAAGATATGTTTGATATCAGACGTAAAAACTGGTGAGTAGTGATCGCCTCAAGTTCTAGGTTCATAGGTACCAAAATGAGTGTGCGGCGGAGAAAAAACTTCCTTTTCCTCAGTAGTTTCGACTGTGGACAAATATGAGGCTGGCGGGGGGGCCCCCCAGGACGGGAGGGAGGCCGCCCGGGCCGAGAATGGTCAGGACCGCGAGCAGGAGCATCCCGGCGGCCGCGTCTTCCCAGCGATGCAAGGACCGGGATGAGCGATCCATCCTCTAGGCCTCCTCCTCCTCCTCCTCCGAAAGGCTCCACGTCCAGGGCCGAGAACACCCGTGAGGACGTCCCCCAGGCACCGTCTTCCCCGGGACCCGCGTCCCGGCTGTCAGAGGCCGTTGCTGCTCCGGTGGCAGAGGGGCGGCTTCGCGAGCTCCACGACGCCCGCGCGGGACTTGTTGAGGAACTTGGGCGCTCGTCGCAGCAGCCGCTGGGCCTCGGTAAACGTCTCCGTCAGCTCCTTCTTCCACTGCACAAACTCGGGGTCGCTCTGCAGGGAAACGCACGAGAAGGTGTGACAGCTGCGCCCACTGTGCCAGCCGACGTGGGCGTCGCTGGCAATGCCCGAGTCCCGAGACCCCCCGACCCCAGTGAGCGCACACTCGACTCTTCTGCCCCCAGAGGGGAAGGAGGGCCCTGCCGGCCCTGCCGTGACCCCCGCATCCACTGAGGACGCTCACAAAACAGCTCAAGTTCAAATAACAGAGGAACAGTTTTGACAAGTTTAACGCTCCTTCCCATGTAATGATGAATTAAACACACTTGTGTATCTACTACTGGTTATCTCTCTATATATGCTTCCTCTCTCTCTCTCTCTCTCTCTCTCTCTCTCTCTCTCGTGCCCCAATGGAAAAGGATTCAGGAATTAAACTGGGGCTACAATAGAGTTAGGGAGAGAAGCATGGCATTTTCCTTCGCAGGGTCACTTTGGTATCTTGCATTTACTTAATTATTCCAAACTCAAACTCCAACACGCTGGAAGAGCGGGAAAATTAGGGCACAAGTACTATTGTAGGACCCGGCAAAATATCAGATGAGTTATGCAATCAAATTATGTCACGTGCTTCCTCCACACACGCGCTAATATTTGCTTCTCTGAAAATAACTGAATTTGCTGAAAACTTTGAACCTTAGGGCTTTCTTTCTAAGTATGCAAGTGGCAAAGCATGGAGTAAGAGAATGCTCTCTAACCAAGCAGCCCTCGTGTGGCTGAAGAAAGAGAGAGAGAGAGAGAGAGAGAGAGAGAGAGAGAGACAGACAGGAAGAATTGTTCTAAACTGCATCTATGAAAAGAATAACAAAAACTCACCTCACATTGTAAGACAAATTGCTTCCCTCCTTTTATCCTCAACAAAATGCATTTTTTGTCTTTAAACTGAGTTTCTTCCACAGACATAATCTGTTCCATGGTCAGTAAATTTTGCTGATCATAAAAATAAAAACGACCGATTACTTCACATCATTCATGATTTCTGAAGTTAATCTACTAACTAATACCGAAAACTACCCACTTAGGAAAAGTAAACAAACAAAAAACTTGGCGTTTGTCTTTCTTTGCGGATATTCTAAAAGTGGGGGAGATGGCTACAAAGGAACACATACCAAAGTGCAAACTATACCACCGCAAAAACAAACAAACAAACAAAAAACCTGCAAAGAAAGGAATGTCTCTAAGGCCAAAGAGCAAAGCTGTTCCCTCCACACGGGACTGATGTCTGAGTGACTGTGAGTCACGTGCTTTCTGCACCACGCACCCATCTAAACGCCATCAGTAAAGCCGGGAGGGAACGCGGGGGCGCCGAGGGCGATTCACAGGAGCCAGAGGTGAGAGGCTGAGCTTTCACCCAGCAGCTCCGTAAATGCCGGGCGATGCAAGCTTGTCGGCTGACGCTATTTCGATCATATCCAGACGATGCTATAAACACAGGTGACGTCCTTAAAGGACTGCCCTGCGGGCTAGGTCTATAGCAGTATTGCTTAGGGTGAATGCTGTAGCGTCCCGAGGACCTTACCATTTTATGTTTTTTTGGATAAATACTCCAGGAGTCCTAAATGAGAAACGACATCATAAACGCGCGTGTTTGCTTATAACTCATTGGTACCTACGAATCCAAGCAGCTTCTCAAACGGGCCATTAAACATTGACTCTTTTTATTGCACACTAGAGGCCCGGTGCGCAAAATTCGTGTACGGGTAGGGTCCCTATGCTTGGCTGGCGATTAGGGCCGATCGGGGCCTTCCTTCCCTGGCTGCTAGCTTCAGCCTCAGTTCCCTGGCTGCCAGCCAGGGCCTTCCTTCATTCCATGCCACCCCCTGGTGGTCAGCGCACGTCATAGCGAGCAATCCAACTCCCGGTCTCCTGGTTGAACTCCCAAGGGGACACTTTGCATATTAGCCATATATATATATATATATATATATATATATATATATATATATATATATATCTGTCTGTCTAGAGGCCTGGTGCATGACATTCGTGCACTCAGTGGGGGAGTCCCCTCAGCCTGGCCCGCGCCCTTTAGCAGTCCAGGAGCCTGCAGTTGGACATCCTTAGTGCTGCTGCGGAGTTGGGAGAGGCTCCTGCCACCACCGCTGTGCTCGCCAGCCATGAGCCCGGCTCAGGGCTTTTGGCTGAGTGGCGCTCCCCCTGTGGAAGCACACTGATCACCAGGGGGCAGCTCCTGCATTGAGTGCCTGTCCCTGGTGGTCAGTGCATATCATAGCGAATGGTTGTTCTGCCCTTCGGTTGATTTGCATATTAGCCTTTTATTCCTGATGTTAAACAAAGGAAGTTTTTTTTTCTGTTTTGTTTTTGTTTAATTTTCAAATATACTGAAAAGTGGGACAATTTCCTGTCTGCTTTGGACCTCACAGAACAGCACATTCTATTTTCTGATATTACAAAATCCGTCCTTGACTCGCAAGTCTAAAAGTCACAGTCTGAACATCAAAATGGCATGCACACACGTTAAACAGGTGCACAGTGCTTCCGAGGCTGCTTGACAAGACGTGTCCTCACGATGCGATAACCACGTGCCATCCATTCAACGTTAACGACAGCAAGTGCTCGGTAACGGGCGTCAGACTTACCCGGGACTCCCCCTCTCCTCTCCATTCAAGTCTGTTTGGAAAGAGGTAAAAATATCGACGCTGCCACTGAGTCAGAAACGGGTTCCCCAGTTTCAGCATGTACCCGTGCATAATACAGTCCTTTCCCATGGCGTAATCTGAGAAATAGAAAGTCACCATGAGTTAAATAGGGTCTGAAACAGAACGTCTTCATGTAGACGTGCCTCAGGAAAAGAGAAGTACACACTTTCTGGAAAAGTCAAGTTTCCAGCAGTATACGACATTACAGAAATCATTACTTCTTTCTTAAAATTTTTAAATTAAAATAAAATTTTAAATTAAATTTTGACAATACTTAAATTTTAATTTAAATTAAATCTATATAAAAATTATATAGGTTTCACGTGTAGAACTGTACAATACGTCACCTGTATACTTCATTGTGTTTACCACCCAAAGTCAGATGTCTGTCTGTCACCATGTGCCTGACCCCCTTTGCCCTCCACCACCTCCCCTGACCCCCTTGCACTCTGGCAACCACCACACTGTTGTCTGTGTCTCTGCGCTTTTGCTGGTTTGTCTTGTTTGGTCATTTGTTGCAGAAATCATTATTTCAGTCTTTAAACACATGGGAACTGGGAATTGAAAAAATAGAGGTTTCTTTAGCTCTTTCCCTACTGACACTAATCATTGCTTCTCAACTTCCTGATAAATTCACAGTGGTCGTTTATTGCTCTGAGAGGGCAAAAGTTTGTTCTGAAACGACTTTTTCATCTATAATAATAAAAGCGTAAAATGCTAATTAGACCAGACATCCTCCGAACGTAGCCCCTGGGATGGATCCAGGCAGCTGGTCCTCAGCTGGGAGGGATGGATCCAGGCAGCCACCACAGCTGCGAAGGCCTACTCTTGCACGAACTTCGTGCATCGGGTCTCTAGTTATATATAATGACAATGGAAGAACAGAGAGTAAATGAATGCAAGCCCCAAGTACCTTTGCCTCTATGTGGCACTGGGCCTCTCCCTTCCTTCTACTTTTTGTTTTCTATATAATAACCGAGTGGGGATTTCCGTGGCTGACTAAGCCAAAGTAGCACAAGGATCAAAAGTGTTTATTCCTTGACTTGAGGTTATATTTCTCTCTCAAATACATGGCTATGTAGAGAGACCAAGCTCATTCATTCACCCTGAGTCCTGATGACCTTTTATAGGGAAGTATTGTCTCTTAAAACAAAAACAGGTTCATTTTAAGTGGCTTGCTTTGCCTTCATGAAAAGCTTGGGTGATTGGGCTAAAATCATTCACTCCCTCTCTCATTCGCTCATTCAACAAGATTAAGTGAGCAGCCAAGTGCTGAGCATGTTCTAGGCATCGAGGACTCAGCGGTGAGCAACAGACAACACCCCTCGCCTTCAGGGAGCTCACACTCTAGAGCAGCGGTTCTCAACCTGTGGGCGGCGACCCCTTTGGCGGTCGAACGACCCTTTCACAGGGGTCGCCTAAGACCATCCTGCATATCATTTACATTATGATTCATAACAGTAGCAACATTACAGTTATGAAGTAGCAACGAAAATAATTTTATGGTTGGGTCACAACATGAGGAACTGTATTTAAAGGGCCAGAAGGTTGAGAACCACTGCTCTAGAGGGAAGTCAGACGATAAACATGTAAGCAACACCCATAGGACGGGGGGGGGGCAAAGGGGGTCAAAACCAGGGAGTGAGCTCCCCGGAGGTGCCCTTTTCATGAAAAAGTGCCTGCATTTCTAGAGTATATCTACGGTTGACATCTTGTGTTTTTAGTTGAAATCTAAGCCTAGACCAGTGGTCGGCAAACTGCAGCTCGCGGGCCACATGCAGCTCTTTGGCCCCTTGAGGGTGGCTCTTCCACAAAATACCACGTGCGGGCGCGCACATACAGTGCAATTGAAACTTCGTGGCCCATGCGCAGAAGTCGGTTTTCGGCCTGGGCAAGTAAGTCTATTTTGAAGAAGTACTGTTGATATTTGGCTCTGTTGACTAATGAGTTTGCCGACCACTGGCCTAGAGTGTTTTGTTCTATAGAGGTGACTTCTGAGGTCTTCAACCAAGACCTAGATATGCCCAAATTAATTCTTTCTACATGAAGATGGATTCATTAACTGGTTAGAAGAGTTCTAATTCCAGCTCTAATGAGAAGGAAACACTTCAGCAAGGTCATTGGGATATATTATTTTTTTTTTTCTGGGTCTAATTTGTCAAGACATCATGGCCCCCCTTGGAGCAAATGACCATTGATAGAATGTCATCAGTTCGACGTAAAATCTGCTACGGCAAATGCAGCCCAGAGGGATCTCAATGGACCTTTTCTCTACAGAGCAGCTTAGAAACGAAGCCCTTTCCCCAGAGAAGGGAGGTGAGCACAGTGAAAGGGCTGCAAAGTTCCCCTCGGTGCGCTCGGGGGACTTTTTAATACGTTATTCTTGATTTCAGAGAGGGAGGGAGAGGGGGAGAGGGACAGAAACACCAATGATGAGAGAGAATCATCGACTGCCTGCCTCCTGCACGCCCCACACTGGGGATCGAGCCTGCAACCCGGGCATGTGCCTTGACCAGGAGTTGAACCGAGACCTCCTGGTTCCCAGGTCGATGCTCAACCCCTGAAGCACGCCGGCCGGGCCCACAATACATTTAAATATCCAAAAGCCATAAAAATCTAACACAATGAAAAGAGCAACAATACTCAGTGCATGAAGAATGACGGATCACTCTACTACTCTATGTTACATATTCTGCTTTGAAAATCGTGAGAGACGTGAGCTATTTTACCTTCTTCGTGGCCCAGCTGCTTGTTCTTCGCCCTCTTCCTGGCCTCGATCTTATCCGTGTCCGAGTTCACTGTTTCGTAGATGGTCTCCACCACCTCCTGCTGCCAGCGCTCGGAGATGACCAGCGGGAAGTTCTTGTAGAGCTCTTGGTCACAGTCCAGAAGCTGCGTGTGGCGAGAAAGCGAGACGCCTATGAGCGACCGTGCTTACCAAGGCGAGAGGCGCCTGACTGGGCGCAGGAACCGGGCGGCACGATGGCACACAACCGCTTAGAACAGGTTCTCCAAGGTGACAAATCCCTACTGAGGACCACCCAGCCGCCGGGACCCACAGGGGCTGTCCCTGGTGAGCACTGCGCTCTCACTCCCGGGTCAGGTGGCTTCGCCCCCAATGTCCTTCACATTCACTGCAGTTTTGCTGATGAAACCAGCACACATAGGCCTTTATCTGGAGTATGAAAAGGTTTGGACAACAAAATAAAATTTCCATTGTGGTGAGGATATTCGATTTACGTGGAAAATAGACTCCTAGAGTTTTTAGAAACAATGAAAAGGGAGAAGCCAGCGGAGTCTTCTAGCCGCCTCCACTTACTCTGAAAATCGAGGAAAACAAAATGTGGGCGGGGCTAAACCTATTATTCACTCCATGAACCTCCCAGCGAATCCAAGTGTAACAGTTCCATCACATGCAGAAGCGAAAGCTCAAGACACAGGGAGGGTTTGGGCAGCTTGGCCTTTAAGAGGAGCCGTGATTGCCGAAGCCGGTTTGGCTCGGTGGATGGAGCATCAGCCTGCGGACTGGGGGGTCCCGGGTTCGATTCCGGTCAAGGGCGTGTGCCTGGGTTGCGGGCACATCCCCAGTAGGAGATGTGCAGGAGGCAGCTGATCGATGTTTCTCTCTCATCGATGTTTCTGGCTCTCTATCTCTCTCCCTTCCTCTCTGTAGAAAATCAATAAAATATATAATAGGAAAAAAAAAAAAAGAGGAGTCGTGATAAACATGACACTCATGATGTGTTTTTTTTCCACACCGTTACTCCAGCTTCCTCATCCCTCTCCCTGAGTGAGGCTGCACCCCGGAACCAAGTGAGGAAAACGGCTTTAGGCCTCAGAGCTGCAGGTTTGTGATAGAAAGGGGAGTGGGCCTGCTGAGAGGCGACAGGTGGCCTGCAAAAGCGAGATGTCCCTATACAAACCGGACCTGCTCACCCCTTT